GGCTGTACACTCAGAACTTTTGTGCTTTCACAGAACTGTGGAGGACCCTGGTCTGTAAGTAAGGGAACCCTGGGGAGGACTTCGCAACAGAGGTGCTATGCTCCAGGAGTATTTCAGCACGTGCATCAGAGAGGAGGAGAGAGCTACAGGCAGGCAGGCCGGCCAGTGAGGGGAGCATATTGAATTAATTGCTTCAAGATTGGATGATGGTGTGAACTGAAGGAGTGTTATGGTTTGTGTCTAGTTGACCCCCCAAAGCCTCATGCAGTCATGGGGTGGACTTCCAGAGTTGGTGTTTAACTCATGATCCACTGGGATTATGGGTGTGAATACTACACTCAGCTTGTGGCGGAGAGCCTGAATGCAACTTAAGGAGACAGACTTGCTCTCTGTAGCCATTGTTGCTGCTATACCTCCCTTTGCTGTCTGCTCTTTGCTATCACCATGAAAGGTTGCTCTCTGCCATGTGCTGCTCTGCCTTAGAGCCACTTGAGTGTGGACTGAAGCTTCCAGTAACTGTGAGCTAAATACACCTTTCCTTCCTTAATTTTGACTGTTGGGTATTTGTCCCAGCAGTGAGAGAAGAGTAACTGAGACAAGGGGAAGGTACTGGGGAAAGACAGATTCAAATTTGTGATGGTTATTTTATGTGTCTTTTTTTTTAATGTGTCAGTTTTATAGAGCAGTGAGGCACTTAGAAATTTGGCCAAATGTCATTCTGTGTGCTGAGTTCTGTGTGCTGAGGCTTTGGACGAGACTCCATTGGTGGGTAGGCTGAACAAATCGGATTGGGTACACTCAGAACTCCCTGATGCCAGTTGACCTCCATCAATTAGAACCTGGAATAGAGCAGAACAGCTATGTTTCCTTCAAGTGAGGGGGCCACCTCTTCTTTCCCACCGACCTGACAGTGGAGCATGGGTCCTTTCCTGCGCTGAGAGTCCATAATTGTGCTTGTGCCCCCCACCCCACCCACATGTACACAAACTCACTGGGGATGCAGTGTGTGTGTTTTGCTTCTCTGAAGAAACCCAGTCCATGTGCAGAAGGTTGGGTCAGTGTAACATGGGATTTCACTGTACATGGAGGGTAGCAGGGAAGAACCAGCCCAGGATGATCCGTCACCTTTGGTCTAGTAGCAGGAGATCAATAATGATGTTTTTTTTTTTTTTGGTGGCACTGGGGATAGAACTCAGGCTTTTGCGCTTGCCAGGCAAGCGCTTTTTCTACTGAGCTATCTCCCCGGCCTCTGAGATCAATACTGATGAAACAGTGGACTCCGTATAAACCAAGCTTTTGGCTTCATGAAAGCCAGAGTATGAAGTCACAAACCAAAAGAAGGCAATTAGGTGAGTTTTTACTGGAGATAAGTTTCCTCTGGTAGGTGAATCTGAAGAGTGAAGTATCCACTGGACCACCAGTGCAGAGCTTTTAATGGGTAAACAGAACTCTGGAATTTCCAGCTACTTAGTGGTGACCTGCCATGGGTGGCTCTGTGAATTTGAAATGACCAGGTAGAACTCAGGTGCTATTTCCCAGTGTCTCTGAGTGGTTTAAAAGAAACTGGGAGTTTAGGGAAAAAATTGCTTATTTTGGATTTAAATTCCTCAAAACTCAGAAGCTTAGTCAAAAAGGGTTACAACTCCCTTTAGTAGGAGTGGATCTGTTCTCTGTGCTGCCTGAAGTTTTCCTTGGTCCAGATTCCCAGTTAAGTACCTGTTCATGTTTAAGTTTTAGCAGCCTGGCTGATACCCAGCTTTCTTTCATGCCCTTTCCCTAGCTTGTTGCCTTCTTCATGGCTAACTAAATAAACTTTTTTTTACAATGATGTCACCTGAAATAGGTAATACATAGGCCAGATATAAATTGTGTATGCAGTGCACAAAAGTGATTTTTTTCAGTTTCATGACGTTCATGGGTCTTGTAGGAAATACAGAAAGATTCCCTTTAAGCATTTGGATCTGTAGATTTAGTATTATTGAGGAGGGAATGTAGAAATAAGTGAGAAAAGGCAACACGAATTAAGAGAGTTAAGGTGGTTATAAAGGTTCTTGAGGACAGTTTGAAATACATTCATTCTTGACCAAGGGGTAGGCATTCCTGGGGAAGGATGTGGAACAGAAGGGTACCAGCTCTATTTTGTAGAATATATTTGAGATTCACTATGAAATAGTAAATGGATTTAAGATGAAATTAAATCTGTTGGGAACAACCCGCTTGGGCCCCCTTTCTGTCCCTCTCTTGTACAGGATCTTTCTTTCCCTCAGTAAATATATTCTACTCATAACCTCCAAAAAAATAATAATAAAATAAAAAATAAAATCTGTAAGAAAATAAAAGGGGTAAGGGTTTATAAAAATGGAATAGAAGGTCCATACTATCCAAAGGTATGTCTCTTATAGACAGAATCTGTAAGTTTTTATATAGCTTTTAATTAATATATAATTCAGCATACTTCTGCACATAATTTCATACTTTAATAAAGATTTCTAGTAAACAGGTAGGTCACATGCTCTCAGTTGAAAGATACTGCATCAATCACACAAAACTAATAAGTTGAAGAGATTCATTTTGCTCAACTTTAGTCTCTCTTGGAAAAATTAGAAATTACATAGGATCTGTAGTCACAGGTCTTTGTTCTTTCTTTTTTTTTTTTTACTTTGAGTGCAATGCTCTGTTAGCTACACTTTGAGATTTGTATTGAAAACGTACATCTAATCAAGTATATAGATTCTTAATGTAACTATGAAATAATCACTTTAAATGGGTATGTTTCTGTATATTTTCATGTTATAACTCTACCAAGGATGAACATTTTAAAGTCTTATCTTTATGAATGAATATATCATTTATCAGTATTGTCAGATATAATCAGTAGTATCACTTAAAATGTTTAATCCTAAGAAATTGATTTTTTCTGTTTTTCATAATATGAGTCACACTTGCCTATCATTAGTTACAATATTATTATGTGGTCAGTGGTTTCCTGGGGCATAAATGAATGCAGTGTAAATTGTAGTTCATCAAAACTTTCAATCTTGAGGACAGATAGGAGAGGAAATTAGTGATCTAGTACAAGAGGTAGAAATAGCACACAAGAAACTATTTCTCTGCTAGTTCTGTTGTTTTCTGAAACATTTTAAGTTAACTCCTATAATAGTCATACTTTACATTTACTCTGCCTACTTACATATCTATTTAAGCTGATCTCTGTAATTTGTTTGTGTGATTGTTGTGGTTTTGTGTAAATTGCCAAAGAGTTGATCTGGGCTCAGGTCATGGTGGGATGAGAGGAGAGGATGTGTGAAAGCCAGCAGAAAGGTACAGATAATTGTACTGCTAATTTCTATTAGTTCAATGAAAGGAAAAGTTAGTGTTTGTATTATTTGACCAATTTTTCATGCCTGTGTCTTGTAATCTGAGCAACTACTTCAGCAATACCACTGTGCAATATAGTAATGAGTATTAATTTTTTATCTTGTTTTGAAGTTCTGTGATCATTTTTATTCTCTTTAAAAAAATAGAAGAAAATTAAAATCAGACCATTTCCCTTTCCTGTTTTACATCCTTTCATAACTCATTCCTACTCTTGATGACAGAAATACTTTTTTTGGTAGTGTTTGGTATCACTGTGCAGTTCATACTTGTAATGATCCTCCTGTCTCAGACTCCTCAGTACTGGGATTATAGGTGTGAACCACCACACCCAGTTTTGGTGGCTGGCACAGTAGCATGGCATGTGGAACTGAGCATGGAACCCAAGTCTGTGCTTGCCAGGGAAACATTTATGCTGAAGAGCTATCTCCCCAGCCCCCAGAAATACTTGTCATACTTCATAGATATGTGCTTTCAAATATTCAGTAATGACCTTTCAGTTGGTTTCAATTTTGTTTTCATATTTGTTATAATTTAAAAATATCTACCATACTTGAGCAAGATGTGGCAGGCATATGTGTAATCCCGGCATACTCTGAGGCAGGACAATCACAAGTCCGAGCCCAGCGTAGGCCACTTAGCAACTTAGTTGAAGCCCTGGGTCATAATAAGAAACAAACAAGGGTTGTGGTGAAGGTCCTGCTTTACATCTCTAGTACGACAAAAAAGCCAGCCACCTTTTTAGCTTTTATGTGTTTAGGATGGTGTGCCTATCAGGGCTTTCCTCCTCCTTACCACACATTTGAAGAACCAACATGTGGCAAAGATTAATTACCAATTCCAGAAAGGATGGAATTGAACTCTGTAGTTACCAGGTTTATCATTTGCTGTCTACACATAGAGACAGTGCAAATGTGTAATCTGTACATCAGGTATTTTTGAATGTGTGTGTGCTTTTGTATACATATGTGCACTTTCTCCAAAAGAGTATTCTTGTTCTTCAAGTTTGAAATTCACTGTACACATGGTAGGATACACTCTAAGGTATTTTTTTTTTAATTTTTATTTATTTGGGTGTGTGTGTGTGTGTGGCCAGCTCAGCCCACCAGGGGGCGGGGTTGGCTGGCATGTGGTGCTGGGGGATTGAGCCGCAGTCCCTGTGCTTTGCTAAGCTTGTTCTAAGTAGGTGCTTTAGACCACTGAGCCATCTCACCAGTCCCTCTAAGTTTCTTAATACATGCTATATGATTGGTTATTTTCTGGACTCTGACCTCTTGTGCTTTCTGTGAATGTGGCCTCCAGCCACATGGGACTCCTCCCAGACTTGCAGCTCTCTGTTTCCTTTTGTACCTCTCTGTTTCCTGTGCTCTCTCTTGCACTTACCCCTTCAGGCCTGGAGTTCTCCTGCCATTTACATTCCCTCACTCTAACTGAGCTTTTGTCTCTGCATTGTAAGTACATCCAGTATCACCTCTTTCCTCAGTTTTTATGGCACTTGTTAAATGTGTAGCAAATCTTTACATCCTCAACTTAGTATTTAAAGTAAGGAAAAAGCAGTGTTCTCTTTTAATGTGATGAAATTTAAACTATAGGAAAGATAATCCTTGTATTCCTTTCTGTTTCAGGAAAACTAACTTCCCAGGAACTTAAAAATCCTGAAAATGCGTTAACTCATACGGAAGATTCTGGGTATGATTTATCAAGTGAGTGGGAAACAGATCTTTCAGAGTTATCCCAGCACTTTGTGGAGAGCTACAGTTCCCCATCCCGTCTACCACTGCCTCTTGTGAAAAAGCTCCAGGCTACTCCAGAAAGTCCTCTGTCATCTCACATGAAATTTTTGCAACATCTGCTTACACTGAAGAATGTGACTGAATCAGGTAGTCTGGTGTTCACAGACTTGGCCTGTTCTGAAGAGGACTCTTCCATCGTCTCTGATTCTGTTTCTCAGATGCTTGACGGCCTGATCGTATTTTACCGTGACCGCAAACTTCCTTTTTCAAAGTTTTGGACAGAAGCTGTTGACACTTTAGCAAGACTCATCAATGACTGTAACTTCTCGAACCACATTTTGAAAACATGTTCTAAGAAGTTGGAAGAATTTGAAAATACCCTACTACAGGTTCTTATAGGAAGAAGCCATATAAACCGAGTGAGTAATAAAGCTCTCCTGTTAGTGAATGAGATGTTAGTAATTTAAGTGAATGTTCCATCTGGATAATCCTGCTATAGTCCGTTAGCCTCGTGGCTATTAATCATTACATCTCTGCCTTGGGCTTCAGATTGCTAAGATGTTGTTCTCTCCATTAGGGAACTCTGCTTCAAGTTTGTGCTTATGACTTTGAACTACTTTCTCTTATTTTTAATCCACATTCTTGGATTCTTTGCTTATGTTTTATGCTGTTTTTATTCAATTACTGTTGCTCAAGCCTCAGTACTTTTCAGAAAACTATTAACATTTAAGGTTTCCTGAAGTATGGCTTCTGTGAGTGCTGTGCTCCTGTAAAATGCCTGAGATAATCAATGTGAAGTGAGTGAGATTTATTTTGGCTCGTGTTTTCTGAGTTTTCAGTCAGTGGTCTCTTGGGATGCATTGCTTTGGGCCTGGGGTGAGGCAGATCATCATGGTAGGGAGTGTTGGTGGAGCAGAGCTTCTCCTGTTGTGGTGACCAGGAGCAAAGTGGGAGACAGGAAGGGATGAGTTAGCCATGTCCACATTAAGAGCACATTCCAAGTGACCCTAGGTCCTTCACTTGGCCTGTCAACACAGGTTCCAGTTCCTCCCTGCAGTGTCACAGGCTGGAAGCCAGTCCTGTATTACACAGTTTAGGGCACATGCCATTTCCAAGATGTAACATTTTCTACACAGCATAATCCTCTGTAGACCCTCTGTAAATGTAGATTAATTGAATAAATTTGCTGTGGAACACACCGTGTAAGGATTTCTTTTCTCTCTCTTTTTTAAAAAATTTTTTCCTTATTTGTGCAACATAACTTACGAAGTCTTACTCAAGGATTCTTTCTGAAGAAGAGGCATTTAGTTAATCTTAAGCAAGTTCATTGTTTGGCTCTTGAGACATAGTGGAGAGTTGTTTTTGTCATACTGTTTACTACCTTTTACAGTCTGATCTTTTGTTTCAAAATTGCAAATGGCCTTCACATTTTAGTTCATTACTGAAAACATCAAAGAAGAGCCCAAATGATCTAAAGCACTCACTGTAGTAAAATCACCAGATCTTGTTTCTTTGGAAACATCTTTGTGGTTTGTCCTCAATGCCGTAATTTAATGCAGTGTGGGTTTTATCTGAATTTTCAGAACCCTGATAAAATTTGATTCCACGAACTAATTTGTTTTATCTACGTTTGTTCTTTCTGTCTTAAGGTTTCATTTGATAATACTTTAAGACTTTTTTATTATGCTTTTGTCATTTAGGAATGATACTGTGTTAGTTTTCTCTTGTACTGAGACAAAATACCTGACACCCAGAGTTAAAGGAAGAAGTTTATTTAGCTCACAGTTTGTGGAGATTTCAGTCCCTAATCAGCTTGTTCCAAGGCAGAGTGGTACATGACAGAGGGCAGCAGTTCATGGCAGTGGAAAACAACAAAAGCAGCAAGCCAGCAAGAGAGAAGAAGCCTCTTTCTGCTCCAGTGTACTAGGATTAGGGTGAAGCCAGTCCAGCAGTCACCCACCCTTAATGCCAGCAACCTTAGTTGCATCATTGAACTGTGAATCAGTTCGAAGCTAGATTAATCCATCTCCATAAAACCCGCCCTCTGTGATCACATAAGGCTTTGGCTGGACAGACAGACACAAAACATAACAGGTACTGAATTTTGTGATTGTGACACCAGTTTTTTCCTGCTGGACTTTGTCAACTAGAAATTAAGTACTAGGTTTTCCATTGACACCATTAAGGTATGATTTGGGAGATTAAATTTCCAACATATGAGCCTTCAAGGACACAGACACATTGAAATTCTAGCAAATGTTGTACAATCTGTGACAATAAAGTTAGCAAATAATATTTCTTAATCGTTATAGTTCGCTCTTTCCTTTAAAATTATTTTAAATTGGTTCTGTGTGACTTGGAACCTTTCAGGTACTGGAGTTCATATACTTCAACATGGTCACTAGATGATACACATATTTTTTCCAGCTTGTCTTCCTCATATATGAGGTTCAGAGCTGGGCTTTTTTTTTTTTTGGTATATTTAGGGAGGGGTCTACAGGTTGTTCAGGGTTTCACTACTAGATCAGACTCATAGTGATACGCCTGTTTACATCCTCCCAAGAGCTGGGATTACAGGTGCACCACCACACCCAGTTGCCATCTTAGCGGGCCCGGGAGGCAGGGCTAGTACTGCAGGCCCGGGTATGGAACCCCAGCTGGGCATTTTTAAAGAGAATAAAATAATAGTAAAAAGTTAGAAACAGTGCAAAATTTCATTAAACAAATGATATAAATTCAACAGTGGTTGTTATATTTCTTACACCCATACATAAGTAGCCCTGAGAAGGAGAATTGCCGGAGTAGCTTGTGATGATGATACCGGTGAATCTCTGGGTTTTCATGCCATTTGTCACTGGTCCAGCTACTTCCGAGTAGTTGATGAACAGAAAACAAGAGACTAAATGACTGCTGGAGTGGTAATTGTGTTCAGAGGAAGTAGAATTATAAAATTGTTCTCCTCATTTACAGTAAGGGATGATGATTAATAAATGCATTTTAATGGTATTCTCTCTAGAGAGTTATTTTTTGTCCTGCCCAGCAAAAGCATTTCAACTAAATCAAAGTTTTGTCATTGTTGTCCTTATTTCCACCATATTAGCATCATTATCTGGGTATGTTTACAAATCTTGAGTCTTTATTGGCAAAATTGTCTAATATTTGCTATTTATGAATGCTTTTTAGACTTTTTTAGCTTTTCTCAAAAACAATCTTAAGAATATTCTGACATGATAATGCAATTCCTATTACTGCATTTTTATTGATCCTACTCTTGATACTTTAAAAACAAAATCATAATTTAGAAAAAATTCACTTTTAAGAAACTTCTATCCATAAATGGGAAGTGTTTGGTTAAATTGTATTGCTTAAAAACTAAGCCATTCTAATTGTTTCATTAAAGTGAACATTTGTTTGGACATTGTGATAGAAAAATTAATATTTTGTAATGGATTATACATTTTTATAATTCATATATAAATTTTATACATTTTACATATAATAAATTTTCAAAAAGTAGATAGTAGGTTCAGTAGTAAAATTATTCTGACTATAACTTAGTTTTCTGAAAAAATTATCAGTAACTGCTTAGTAACTTTCAAAATCTTTAGATTACCATTGTGAGTGGTAATTATTTTTGTTAGAGGCTATATGCGTTAAAGAGTGGAAAGTGGAAATAAAATGATCTGGAAATTGCTTTGATAATTCCCTAGGATTAACTTGGTGGAAATTATTTGTAAGTTTAAGAGGAAAATACGTTTGTGCTTTCTCAGATTTAGATAAATGCTTTTTCTTTTTGCCATTGTAGGTAGTTTTTATTTACTAAAAATAATTTAGCAATTGTTACCTCAAGTTTTTATCTTTTATTTTTTAAAAAGTAACTATGAATGTGGGACTGGAGAAATAATGTACAATGACTTTTTTAAAATGTGTGCTTGAAATCAAATGCCTTGCAGGGATCTGCACAGGCTCTCCACTGGGGTCCTGGGAAACAGTCCTCACTTAACTCGTTCTTCAGCTTGCTTCTACTTACCTGAGAAGTGTGGTGCCTTCACCACTAGCCAGAATTCACAGGGCCAGGAATGCTGAAGTTTTCCATCTTTAATGAGCTTTATTTGTCTGACATCTTAGCTTCTCTTATATTATTGACCTCCCAAGTAAATCTGGATTTCAAGTGTATTATTTCTGTAATATAAACATCATGAGTTATCTTAGCATTATACGGCTGGCTGGCTTTCTTTCTTTCTTACTACTGCTGTCTTTCTTTATAGGCTATCATATGATACTGTAGTACTATCACAAGGCTGTTTTACAATCATAATATGCACGATAATATTTAATTCTTTAATGATTATTTTTATCATTTTTCTCTGACAAGTGGAAATGATTATATTAAATTAAATGTAAAAAATATATATTTTATCATTGTGCTTTTGGGCAATTAAAGTATGTTGCTAAATTTTAGATATATAATACTATATTTAGTTATTTAGAAAACATTTTCCGGAGGGCCTGGCCTTATCTCAGTTGTTTAAATGGCTGCTTCCACAAAGCTGTCAGCCTCAGGTTGCTGTAGTTCGATCCCCACAACACACCAGCCAGCCAAACCACCCCTTAGGGCATTT